TGACCCAGGGACCACCTGCAGCAGCTTACCTGGGGGTGGCCTGTTAGCAACAGTCCTTAAGGAGTCTCCCTCAGAATTCAGAGCTGGTCAACACTCGGGCCTGGGCTGTGGTGTCCTGGACTATGGCTGGGGGGTGGGGTGTCTGAATTGCCACCAGTGGGATTTGCAAACATCAGGGTCATTCTAAGTGCAAAAATGTTAGTCCAGGAAAGTCACGAGAATGTGTGTCCTGAGTTGACAGGAAGACAGAAGCAGTCACCAGCAGAAGGCACGCGTGTAAAAACATGATGAAATTGAATTATGTGCCCACCTGGGCAGAAAGGCTTTGCAGCCCCCCCCTTGCATTTTAATCTCCCCCAAATCAAGCTAATACATTAAGAAAGCTTTGCCAAACATTTCTGAGAGACACAGATAATGAAAATCCCCTGCTTTGTGATCATGAATTATTATTTTCTTAGAAAGCCAAGGCTATAGGGAGTCATAATGGAGACAAACAGATTTGGGGGCAGATGGACTGGGTTTGAATCCCAGCTCTGCCCTTTCCTAGCCATGAAGCAAATCCCTTGCCTGTCCTAAACCTGTTTCCACTTCTGTGAGATCTATTCATTTGACAAACATGTACTAAGGGCCTGCCGTGTGCCATGCATTGTTCTAGGTGCTGGAGCTACAGGAGAGAACATAGTGTGGCTTCTGCTTTCATGGAGATGACACTGCAGTGGAGATGGGGGTGGCAGGCAATGGACAAATGATAGATCAGGCAAGGGTAAAAGCTAAGGAAAGGGGGGCAGGGTAAGGACACGGAGAGCAAATGGGAAGATGTCAGCATGCTATTTTTTAATTGATTTTAGAGAAGAAGGGAGGGGGGAGAGAAAGAAACATCAATTTGTTGTTCCACTTATTTATGCATTCATTGGTTGCTTCTTGTATGTGCCCTGACTGGGGGTCGAACCCACAACCTTGGCATATCAGGGAGCTCATACCTTCTGGACTCTACATTTATAACTGGTTAAAAAGCAACTTTCAACCGGGCCTAGGTTCCCAGGGCACTGGCAGTCAGCCATAAGGAAGGAAGGGATAACTCCAGGCTCACCCAGCTGGGAGAAGTGTGCTAAGTGCGATTTCCCACCACCCAGCTCCCATCCCAGGCTGATTCGATGACTTGAACTATGAGTTTCCCTTGCCTAGAAAGAGCTCTGAGGGCCTCTTACCCCTGGGTAATGGGAGGCTGAGAAAGAAGAGAATCTTGCTAAGTGCAACTACATAAGACCTCAAGGGCTTTGTTTCTCCACGCCGAGGGCAGGGATCCGGAAAGTCAAGGGGGGGAGGGGGCGAGAGGCAGAGACAGCCTGACCTGGAATAACAATGACACTAATTATTAAGAAAACCATTGCAGATGCCCAGATGTATGTGTCTGGGCTGAACAGCCAGAGCTCTTGACTTTTAGTCCCAGCTCTAGAGTAACCGGCTGCCAGCCACTGGGCAAGCCATGTTCTCTCTCGGAGTCTGCATCACATTTAAGGGCTCAGGTCCCCCAGCCAAGTGGATCAAGGGCTGATTCTTAGCCCTGCATGATCTGGGGCACGTTATTTGACTCCTTTGAGCCTCATCTGTGCAATGGGCGTTTTTAACAGGGAACTCCACCTCCTGAGGTAGCTAATGCAAATAGAGTGTCCAGCATGGTGCGTGAAACGGAGCAAATGCTCAATAAATACTAGATGTCAGCATTTTCACCTACCAAATACCTGTCCTGCCCTTCTCACTGGCTGTTCAAAAAAGCTGGATCAAGGGATGAGGTAAGAAAACCCTTTGTGATATAAAACGGCACTTTACAGCTATGTGGTGTTGTCGTTAAATTATCATCGTGATTATTGCTTTGAATATTATGATACTGAGCAGGAGATAATGTTTTCATAGTAGTGCTTCTCATAGTCTCTCTGGGTAATAAGGGACTGGGTTTGAAAGGCTACCTTCCAGGAAAAAAAAGCCACATTCTTGCTTTGAAAAGCTGAGCCTCCCAGCCCTGAAACAGAACAGGTTCATTACTCAGGGAGGATTAATTAGCTGTCGGGTATTATTAAACGTCCTCACTCTCAAGATCCACACAGAACTGGAAACTCTGAAAGGGAGCGGAAGGTAATCATAGCACAGGGAAGAAAAAAAAAAAGCCACAATTGCTGGCGATGCAAATTTCAAGAGCTGAGCATGTTAGTAAATTACAGTCTGATTAATATCGCGTCAGCTCATTCTCTGTTCGGAGTCATTGTTCTCAATCTGTGGTCTTCGGGGTTGCCTGGGTTTCCTTCCTCTACCAGTGGGATAAAAAAGGAAAGGGGGCTGGCCTCTCCAGGGTTCGCATGGAAGGGACGCTGGAGTGTGCGCATTTCACTGAGAAACAGGATATTTGAAAGTCTAGGAAGGCAGAGGAGGTGACATCAGATAAAGTATTTACAATATTACAGCAAATGTGTCTCCCACGTTGGTATAAGAACTGTTGAAATGACTGGAAAGTAACAGGGGCTCCTAAAAACAATAGCTCGGAGGAGGCATGTCTCTATAGAGTCCAGTGACCCCTTTATCTCCGCATCAAGGGCTCATATTTAAAAGGCAGACTCCTCTGGCCCACTCGACTTGCTAAAGAGAATCCCTGGGGCTGGGTTCTGGGGATCTGTGTTTGTAACCAGTGGTAACAGAACCACTGACTTTGTCCAGTCTTCCGCCACTTAGGAACTAAGCTTGGAGAGAGCAAATGTGGTTCACTGGCCCAGGGTCACCCAGCTGGTTAATAAGAAAAGCAAGAGGCAGAATTGGGATTTTCTAACTCAGCCCCACCTTGGGCCCCCTTCCGTGTAGGATACGTACAAGTTCACTTCCCAACACCACTGTCTTAGGTCGGGGACAATTTCTGCTGTAGTGGGAACTCACATATAGGCCTTCTCTCCTCCTTCATCACGGGGATGGCACCTCCAGGACTAACCACAGACATAGGAAATCCCGTAGGATGCCATGGACAACAGAGATTCATACTACAGACTACAGATGGCATCTGAGAAATCCCCTCCACACAGCAAACCAGGGCAAGGGAACATGTGGGCAGAAGTTCAGGTTTCCCAGTGGCACCTAATCCATCTTTTCCCCTACAGGACAGTAAATTCCTGAGGGCTGAAAACTGTCTTACTCCTTGTGTATCGCTAGCATAGCGCTTGCTGCTTAGTAGATATCAGTGACTAGTTTGTAGAGTACATACAACTGTATAAAAAGTATATTACAAGAAAAATGAATATTAATTTTTCTCATATGCTTAGGCCTACTACCAGCAGGGGCTAAATTACAGCCATACTAATGGTGATAGTAATACAAAAACAACAGAGGGGAACTAACATTACTGAGAGCTTTCTGTGAGTCTCGGCACAGGCTAAGCTCTTTCTCACAGACCCCAGAGCAGCAAATCCTCACGACTGTCCCAGGAGGCAGGGACCACCATCGTCCCTGTTATCAGATGTGATGTTAGAGGCACAGGGAGTTTAATTAATGTGTCCAAGGTCACTAGACGGAAAGCAATGGAGCTACAGTTCTCAGCCAGGACAGACTGACTCGGCATGGACACTCCTCATTTCTCTACCCTCCAATCTCCCAAACCTGAGCATTCAGAGCACCGACCAGGTCTGGTGGGGTGGACTTGCTGGCAGTTCTCCAGGCTGAACACACAGGCTGACAAGAGCAGCCAAAGCTTGCTGGCTCCGCAGGAGCTCAAATGAAGGCCGTGTGCCCATTAGGACTAAGCAAACACGCGACAGCCCAGCACTGTGGTCAGCAAGGAGCCCGTGTTCAAACAACATCCACCCAGTAAAGAGATGAACAAGTGAACGAACAAATAAGTGGACAAATAAACGAGTGAGCTAATCAGACACGAAATGATCATTCAACTCCCACCTCTGCCTCTAAACCTGGGGCGACCACCTCTTTCCTCAGAGGCACCTCGCCGGCTCCCTTCTCAGTGTCTGGCTCTGGTCAGAAGAGCAGCTGCTGTCTGGAAGCACGTATTTTACACGGTTTGGCAAGTCCCTTGGGGCCAGGGCCGGTCTGGACATGTGCTGCTTTCCTGCTCACACCGAACACATCCCAAACTAAGCTCGTTACCCAGTCTTGAACCAATTTAACCTATATCTGGAGAGCGTTCCCTTAAAAGCTCACTTTTAGAAATCTATTTTTAACACCACTTCCCCATGAGACCTTTCCCGGTCTCCCAGAACCAATGTAATTTCCCCCTCCTTTGATCAAACGGCAACTCTCTCTGACTCACACTGCATTTATCTCCCTCTATTTAGTGTCATAATCACTTGTGTATTAGTCCAACGAATCTTCTTTCCTTGCGAGACTGTGCATTTCTGCAGGGCAGGAAGGAAGCTACTCAGACTAATAATGGAGATCATTTGTTTACCGAGTCCCAGCCACGGAGCAAGGGTTTTCCACTCTCATTGCATTTCATCTTCGTAAATCCATGGGCAGTAAGCATTAGGCTCACTGTTTCGCAGATGGAGAAACTAAAAATAACTTGGGTGACTAAAGCTCAGAAAGGCTGAGTGACTGTGGGAGGTGGTTCTGGTAAGTGGCAGAATTGGAACCTAGGCCTGTTAGATTCAGAAGTTCCTGTTTTGAAGCACGAGTCCAACTTTCCATCTCAGCAGTCTCATCCCCTGTTCCTCGAGTAACAGAAGATGCTTAAGACATGTAGGTAACGGGAACAGGCAGAGGCCAAGCATGCAGGAGCCTAAGGCAGTGGCCACGCGGACGGAAGGCAATGCATGGATGTGTGGTCACTGGAGCTTGGCACCTGTCCTGTTCCTCCATCCGCCACCAGAGTCTGGGGTAAGTTGAGTCTCTGCTGGATCTCCCACCCTCTCATGTCATAGCTGCAACATTCACAGCAGCCAGCACACGGCCAACCTTGGGAGGCACGAAGACGGTGGCAGAGAACAGCCGCAAGGACTGTGATGACTCACCCGCAAGGTCGTGATGGTGGCAGGGTCCCGAAGCCGGCCCTCCTCATCTTTCAGGTTGTAGCCTTCGGGCCTCTTATCACGCTCGCTGACTTTCCACAGCTTCACAGTTTTATCTGTGGAGGGCAGGCAGAGGGAATCAGCATCACAGTGAAGGGAAGCTGGGGAAGGACTTTTCTCCTGGGTGGGGGCGGGGGGGGAGCGGGAGAGGGGTAGGTAATAATGGAAGAAACTGCCCCAGGAGCTGGCTCATGTCAAGGGCTTCAGTGCATAAATCTTGTGTCATTTGAAGGCAGAGCTCAAGCTTCAAAACAAAAAACATGTATCGTGCAGAGACAATATGGTCTTCTTGACAATGGGCTGTTAAATCTACAGCTTAGGCATTAATTTTATTCATTCCATAAAAATATTTATTGAACACTGAAGAGTAGGAGTAGCTACATATATTGAATTAACTATGTGAGCACTTCGCATTGAGAATGAATTTAATCTTCACAAGCACCCTGAGAGGTAGGTGCTATTATTATTCCCATTTTTGTGACGCATCTCAATAAACACTGCCTTTACCATGACCTGCACTCCCTACTCCCTCACCCTTTCTGATCTCACTCTCTTCACCCTACTCCCTGCCACTCCCTGCATCCCTGCCACGTGGCTTCCTCACAGCTCCTTGTACACGTAATCCCACTGCTGCCCCAGGGCATTTGCACAAGCTGTGCCTTCTGCCAGAACAGCCCGTTACCCTCCTTTTCCCATGATCTTCCTCTTCGCTCTGCTCTCTCCTGTGTCCCAACTTCAGTGGGGCCTATCCTAGCCCACCGAGACGTAGAAAGGTTTCAATCATCATTCTCAAGCCTCTTCTTACTCCCCTATTTTCCTCACCGTGCACTTCACTACCGGACAACTTCTTTATTGTATCTCCCTCACTGGAATGCAAAATCAGTACAGAGGCAGGGATTCCGGCCGTCTCGTTCATTACTATACCTCCAGCGCGCACAACAGGGCCTGGGACAGAGCACATGCTCAATGACTACGAGCTGGCTGAATGAATGAATGAATGAATGAATGAATCTCATCTGCACAGTGCATGTTGCTAGCAACTCAGGGAAATGAAAGCAAAGAGATTCATCAGAATGCTCCCTTCCCCTTGCAGTCTCCTTGGAGTCCCCACCTGGAAACCACCTTTCTCACCTCTGTCCTGTCCCCACACTTTATACCACTGGCTGACACCTGTCCTTCTCTACAGCAATAAGACAGGGAGAGAAGTCCAATGCCCGCAGGGGTCAGGCAGGCCGGGGGAATGAGCGGCAGGGGCCGGGGGCGCTGGGGAGCTGGAGACGGCGTGTCCCACCCGCAGACGTTCAATTCCATCTCATAAAGGAACATGTTCGGGCCAAACAGATCCCGTCTGCGGGCTGCAGGCCTTTGGAACCTTCCCTGTCAGATCCTGCGTTCGTGGTTTGTACCTTTCTAACCTCTCTTCTGGAAGGCAGGGCCTCGGGTGCCTTCTCTGAGTCTCCCTCTATGCCTGCTCATGGTAACGGTCCCCAGCCACGTGGCCCAGGACTGCGATTCCCACACAGCGGGCGCCTGACTAGGATTTCTTGAGTGACAAACAAGCAGGACTGCCAGATCGAGCGGGGGGAAAAAACTCCAGAGTGCCCAGTGACATCTGAACTTCAGGTCAACGACGTGTCATTTTTTAGTCTACATGTGTCCCAAACATTCTAACCTTACAAAGACAGATTCTTAACTTTTCTGTGCCTCTGTTTCTTTGTTTGTGAATTAAGGAAAGCTGTGTCTTCCTCACGGGGCTCTGATGAAGATGAAAGGAAAGGCCGTGTGCACAGTGTCCAACGCGGTGCCGGGCCTCTAACAGCGGTCACAAACGGCAGCTGTTACTGGAATCAGCAAATGGGGACTATTCCGCAATAATGACACGTTGCTCTGACACCATCAGCTTCCCCCAGGACGATGCCAGCACAGCGACGCCAGCCCTCCACCTGGTTCACCAGGACTCCTTTTCTTTTTTGTCTTTCCTCCCGCTCCCGCATCTCCCCCCGCCAAAGCCTTGTCCTCAGGGGTCTGAAATGCACCCAGCTGGGGAGTGGGCTTTCAGCAGCGGTCTGGGTAATTTAACAGGTAAGTGCCTCTGTTTCCTAAAACCTGGGATCACAGGCTGCTCGGGCCCGACACGCCGCCGGCGTAGATCTGTGCGCTCACCGGCGGGTACTGACACCAAGGCCACGAAGCCCTTCCCAGGGGCTGGGTGGACTCGAGCACTTTCTACTTACATGACGACACTCCTCTGGTCCTACCCTCTCTGCATATCCTGCTATACACTGAACTGTGACAAAAATGAAACATGGGCCATATTTATACAGTCACTTGATGAGCTACTGATCGGCTGTGACTTAGAAGAATCCAAATCAGTGAATTTTATTACCAAACATTTTTAATTGCTTGGCTTTGAAATGCATCCTGTCCTATTTGCAAGGCAATTCTTCCTTGTATTTTTCTTATGAATGATGAATTGCTATGTAGGGACATCATAGGTAATTAAGAATAAAAACCACCTATAATCTCTCCAGTCAGGGACAATCATTGTTAACATTTTGCATAGTATTTTTTCTATGCATTTTTTTTTGGGGCGGGGGGGATAAAAACCTTTAATAATATTACATATATAGATTTTTTATTTTCTCATTTATTTCCTTCTTTTTATTATACAAGTGTACAATCATTACTACATAATTGTAGAAAATAAAAATGAGCCTAAAAGTAAAAAATTTAATATCTCCCTCAATTTCACTAGACAGAGAGGCCTATTATGAAAATCTTATGTATGTCCTTTCATTATATTTCTGTGTGCAATTACATAACTGTTTTAAATAGACATAACATGTATACATGATTTATGAATATGCTCTTTCTCCTAATCATATCTATCTATTCCAACATCTATTCCTGTAAATATATAATTTATAATAGTGAGCATTTAATAATTAAAGGTCTAATAAGGGGAGATTTATTAGTAAACTATAGAAGAATCATATAGGGGAATGCTATACAGCCATTGAAAATGTTATGGAATTTTAGAAGAATATTTTAACAATTAGGAAGATATTCCTGTTATTAAGTGATATATTACTAAATAAAAAAATCTGGTTGCCAAACAGTTTATAGAATATATCACATTTCTGTTGAGGAAAAACCCCACAGATTTATTCATGCTTCTTTGCTGTTTTCTTTAAAAGAAATTAGCAGAGGTTTTCTCTTCTCTGGATGGGAACACGTCCATTACCTTCATTTTGCCTCTCTATTTTCTAACCTTTTTTTTTTTTTTACAATAAACACGTAACTATTTTCACAGCATGTAAACCAAATCAAATACACCTTCTCATCTGGGTATTAAGGCAGAAGTAGAAAGCTAGGCAGAGCAATGTGTTTTCATCTCGCAAACACACTCACAACTGAATGTTGGCCTTTTTTCATTAAAAATTGTAAAGTTGGAAATATATTCTAGCAGAAAGTAAAAACTGTACCCAACTATAATGAGATAAGCACAATTTTCTTTTTTTAAAAAGATAATTGATGGTGAATTCAATCCAATTCCCCACGGTTGGGTTGCCTGGAGTCATTCTTGACTTAATTGTCACAGTGTTTCTTGACTCCCCATCTCCAAGCTTGTGGATAGGAAAGGCTGAGGAACACATGGCTGTTGCTATGAGTAATGACTTTTCCTATATTCTGGCTGGGTCTCTGAGTAGTTTATCATTACTTGTGGCAGCTTTTAAACACAATCTTATCATCTATCTTCATTTTCTCTTTTGTACAATAATTCCAATTGTCTTCCATTAATTTTCGCATGTTAACCTATTTGGCTTAAGGGGAATTCTCAACCTCAGTATTAGTACAAAAAAGAAAATCACAGGAGAACGGGGAATTTTTCTTATAAGAATCATTTGGAGATGCTGTTGGCATATGAAATAGCATCCCAAATGGGAAGATAATATCCTTGTTAATCAAAAAACTATTTAAAAACTCAATTAACAGAACATTATGCTATATAATTAATCTTCATTGCATATCACTGATTTTTCCCCCCACCCCCTCACAAAGGAGTTAATGTGTCTTTGAATTTTATTGTAATAATCAATAGGCTAAATTTCATAATATAAAGTAAGCTAGCTATAGCAGACAATCAGACACTTTCTCTGCCTGGAGTAATTAAGTCAGAATCATCCAAAGTCTTTTTTATTCTGAGCAGTGTTGAATCTGCAGAGCCTTTGAGTAAAATTTCAGCGGTACAACTAAGAGGGAAGAAACTGAAATAAATTCATGGTCTGGCTTTCAAGAAACAGAGTCAAAAAAATAAACAATAAATACAGTTATGAGAAAGAATTAAATTTCTTCGAATCTGGAAAAACAGACGAATGGAAATCTGGGCATGTTGAGATAAGTCTAAACTGGCTGTATCAGAATTGCCATTTTTCAGATTTGTACACTGGCTTTATATTTGAGGGATTTTTGGTTCATATGCATTAATCTGCTCTCCCCTCCTTAAAAATAAAATTAAAATAAAACTCATAGTCAAAACTGAGAAAATAAAAATGATAAAAAGAACAAATCTACAAGCCACCCGTAATACATAATAAAAATTAATCATAATAAACCTTAGGTGTGTTTTAGTCTTTAAAAATGTTAATACATGTTTGATCATACTATATCCATAGTTTACATTTTTCACTTGACATGTGACCATTTCCCTTTCTTTATAAATGCTGGGGATGGGCAAGTAGCAAATCCCCAGCTTTTTAATTCATATTTAAATGTATACTCCTCACAGACTCACACACAATGAAGTGAATCATGCTCCAGCTTATTTGCTTGGGAGAGGGTGTTTAATTTCCATCCACTAATCCTCTTAATTGTTATGCTACCCAATTAGCACCCTTTAGTATATGATTTTCCTCTAAATTGTTTGGAGCCTAGATGGCTTCTTTCAGCAAGGGTGTTAAGAAACTTTCGGGTAGGTAATTCCGCTGTATAAAGGCTTACCGAATTAATATGGAATTGGGTCTCCATTCAACCCCTAACATCCTCTCTCTCAGGCCTATTTATATCAACTCTCCCCAAACCAGCAAATGGTGTTAGGACAGAACAGAGGGAGAAAGAGCCAGAAACCACTTCTTCATCAGCTCTTTGGTAGGGTCCTTCCCCCTTCTTGACCTGTGCTGGAGACCTTGAATGTGTCAGAGCTGCAGGCATCTGCTTGAAAACCCCCCAAAGACATCCAGGGATTAGAAACTTCTACTCAGCATGCCGAGCTCACAGGACTGCATGTCNAGCCTAGATGGCTTCTTTCAGCAAGGGTGTTAAGAAACTTTCGGGTAGGTAATTCCGCTGTATAAAGGCTTACCGAATTAATATGGAATTGGGTCTCCATTCAACCCCTAACATCCTCTCTCTCAGGCCTATTTATATCAACTCTCCCCAAACCAGCAAATGGTGTTAGGACAGAACAGAGGGAGAAAGAGCCAGAAACCACTTCTTCATCAGCTCTTCGGTAGGGTCCTTCCCCCTTCTTGACCTGTGCTGGAGACCTTGAATGTGTCAGAGCTGCAGGCATCTGCTTGAAAACCCCCCAAAGACATCCAGGGATTAGTAACTTCTACTCAGCATGCCGAGCTCACAGGGCTGCATGTTGAGCTTCCTGAAGCGCGTTCCCAGAATAACATTCAGTGAATCTTAAGACGGGAAATCGCATTCCAGAAGCACCTGGAAGTCATCTGCGTGAGTGGAAAACTGCAGATAACGGGTCTCACATAATTAGGTCAGACATGTGTGATATTTAAAAAGAATCACTGTTATTGACCGAGGGCCCACTCTGCGCCAGGCACCCGGCTAGGCATCTTGCAAATATTATTCCTACTTTTTTTTTTTGACAGCCTGCAAGGTTAGGAAGGAAAATTGGGTCTAAGAGACATTGAAACACGATTTGGCTGAAAATACCAAGCAGGAGAAGTCATTTGCACATACCATTAGTAGACAGAAGGAAGTAGGCTGCATTCTGCTGGGGGAGCCATCTTATTTTATTGATTTTTTCTTCTATTTCTAAGCTCTTCAGGTAATCGAACTCGGGTTCATGGCTCTGGAATGTGCTGTAAACATTGTATTCGCCCCTACGATGAACCTGATTTTTACTCTGTAAGAAGGGGAAAAAAATTCACCAAAGATTAAATCACATAGGCCACCTGCAAAGTCACCAATTTCTTCTTTTTTTGAGCAGAATCATTGGGATGGGATGGGCAGGACCATGAGAGCCACAAGTTTTACCTGAGCTCAGAGGCCTCCAAAGCATCTGACCGTGCGCCTCTGTTGGTGACTATTAGTAACCTCCAGCATACATGTATTTATAAATGATATACATGAAATTCTGTTATATGGTACACATCATAACATATACATAGAAACAGAAGTTGAAAGAGGGCATGATTTTAAAAGCAATATAAATTTTAAAAGTCAATATAAATAGAAGTCCAAATATTTTCTTTCTGCTTCCTAATGGATGTCTTGAACACCTTTGGCGTAAGCCATCCCACGCTCATGCCCGTATACACTTCAATCAATCCCTTGCAAAGAGTTCAAAGTTATAGCATCTGTATCTTTCATGGGCCTTTAAAAATCTCACCAGATTCTCACACAATCTCTGAGGGGTCGGCAGGGCAAGCAAGTGGACAAGAGAGGCTCAGGGATGTTTTCCAAGGTCATGCAACTTCTAAATAGTGGATTTGGGCATCAGATCTCCACCCCTCTACCCCTTTTTTTCTAACATGGGTAACAAAACAGACAAGGGCATGGGATGACATCTGCATCACAGAAGTGGAAAACACACCTGACCTAGGTGTTGTCACATGGCTTCGTTTCTCAGGCTTAGTGTCCATTTCAACCCCAAGCCTCGCAACAAAGCTCAATATTTAACTACAGGTCATTATCCCGGACGTTTATTTTTTATTGAACTAAACCACCCTCCTTTGGAAAATGGGTCCCTGTTCATTCTACTAATGAATCAGGCTTCCCAAATACTTCAGGAAATTACAATAGGCGAAACCTATAAATAGCGAAGGGGAAATGTGGGTCGGAATATTACTGGCAACATGCTGCCCTGGGTAATTTATGCTAAATAGCTCCTCCGGTTCCTCTTTATCATCACTATGCACCTAATGGGATTTTTTTTTTTTAAATTGAAGAAGGTTTGAAAATCAGTTTGAAGAGGACTTGCAATGCCGACTGATACTTGTCACCAGCCTGCCTACTGCGGAGAGAGACAGTCCACCTTAACAATAAATTTATCCAAGTTGTTGATTTGGTACCATCCAAATCAGACTGTCAAGTGTGTGTCGGATGTGCCAGACCAATTAGCACTCGGCAGTTCTGGAAAAGCAGGAAAAATTCCAGGTCACGAAGAGCTATTAGCTCCTACTTGCCAAGCACATTTCCCGGTTTCCAGGGCCAATGGAATAGGCTGGGCGCCTGACTTAACGCTGAACGCTTGAATTTCTACAGAACCCCAAGGGATTATGGTGCCCTTATAGAAATTAATTGCAAATAATATGCAATTACCAAATATATCACCTCTAAATGAGGCTTTCCTATTTTGAGGGGAGGTGGAACAGAAATGGCTTTGAGGCACAAGGCAGGCTTTAAATTGCTAGGGAAGTCTCCGGTGAAGCCTTCCTCCTGCACTGGGCCTCCCCACGCTGGGCTGGGCGCATCTCAGAGGCAGACAGTGGCAGATGGGAGAGTTACTAGGACACAGGCCGGCCTGCTGGAAGCTCCAGGGCCATGCCAGGGGGAGCCAAGGAAATCAAACCGGGCCATAATTCCATTCTGACAGAACAGAAGCAGACACCCCCAAAACTCAATTTATATGAAAAGGAGAAACAATTCCTAGTGGAACCCAAGTCCCAGGAAGAAATGGGCTTTTTGCGATTCAGTGGAAATTAGAACTCCTGCTCGGAAAGCATACAGCGTTCAGCTCCAGGGACCTGCGTGTCACCTGCAGTAAAGCCTGTGCCCTGTGCATCGCTCAGATGCCATTATGTGGGACTGCACTCTCTTCGGCTGGGGGAGCTATCATTTTCTTCTCTACTGACCCAAGCTGTCCCTTTCACATCTGTTGGCAAAGAACTGTTTCTCTCTCCTACATATTCTGCAGGAGCACCTGAACTGAGGGGAGACTTCATTTTAGTCACTCGAGGAGAAATTTCACTCCAAATGGAGGTGTTATGCTCCAAAAGCACCCCTGGCATTTGGCGGTCAGATGAGACCAAGAACGTGTGATGCCCAGGTTTGAAAAGATAAGGCTGTGCCCGGGAACGGCGTTATTTTCAGGTGCTTTTATGAGTGGGAAGGTGGAACTGTTGATGTGAATGACTTTTTGGCAGTCTCTAGTTGGCTAGCAAAGCAGCAAGGTTAAGGGCGACTTGTGAGGATTAAGGAACAGCAGGAGGCCTTCTCTAAAAAGGGGAAGAAAAGGGGCATTTTGCATTCACTTGCCACTTACCTCCTGCTCTCGTTGAAATATGACAACCCGACCCCCCTTGTCCCCTGTCGCTAGTAATTCTCCAGTGTGGTTGAATTCTACCGTAGAGATAATGTCAGCTGCAAAGAGAAGACAAAGGCAATTTAAGTAACTGCACACTTACTCTGAAGCGATAGATAATAGACATACTTTTCTGTGCATTTAAGGGCTTAGGGCTTTGTCTCTGCCGTGGAATTTACAAGGGTTTTATGTTCTGTATTTTAAGAGCCACTAGAAGTGGCTCTTTGGAAAGTAAATTTCCTAGACGCCCACACTGCACTGTGGTCTCTTGGAACATCTGGTGAGAACAAAAGGGAAAAGCACATTCAGGCCCTTTTATTTGGGGCAAGAGAAAATGAATTTCTCTAAGGCTCGGGGAAATGGCAATTTTCTTCGATAATTTCTACCAGCCACAGAGCCTGTACCCACTCCCGGCCTTTTTGCATTTCCCTTTCTTCTTACACCAAGGCATGTCCCCAAACAGGTTTCAGTGGTGGCTTTGCATATGAGGGCTGGGGACTGTGATGAAGCCAGGCTGGGATGCCTGACGCTCAGACATGCAAAATCATCCGCAACCTCTGCAAGTTGGAAATTCAAGGACAGACCCCACCAGTGCCCCAGCTTGACCCATGCTCTTTCTTTCTGGGAGGGCACGGCCTTATTCCAACCCCAGGAGAGGGGTGCTGAGAAAACAGGGTCATGAGGTCAGAGGGAGAGGGCAATCTGTGCCCTGCATTTCCAAATGGAGAAAATACACAGGCGCCAGGAACTCCGATCACAGATAATTGCTGAAGGAATGCCAGCCTGCCAAGCTTTTCTTCAACACTGGTTACCCCGGAGAAATACGGACAGGTAAATTACCTAGAATTGGATTTATTAGGGCTATTTTTAGAAAAATGTCAGAGGTTAATTCTTGTGCAATTATTTCCCTGCAGGGCTCCAACAATTGCTACTGAGAGTTCAAATAAGTTAAAAAAAAAGGGGGGGGGCTGGATTATGACTATGGCCTTTGACAAAGGAACATTCTGAAGATTATGTCCACGTGAGGAAAGCAGAGGGGAAACAGTGAGCTGGAAAACGAAGGCAATTACCCCTGACCAATTCACATCTCAGCTCTCACTTTAACATCCTTTCAGGATCTTCTTTGCAGGCCTGATTTGTTCGGGTAAGTAGTGTACAAGCCTCCACGTGGCATATAACTGCCCTGCCCACATATGAAAATACTTCTATTTTCTTCGTGCAGAAGGGAAACGAGTAAGGCACAAGCCGTAGTCACTCTCAAGCCGGGCACATTTAAAAGGACAATTCACGATTTCTTCTTTTTTTAAAATTCTCACCCGAGGATATATTTTTATTGATTTTGAGAGAGAGAGAGAAACATTGATGTGAGACAGAAACATTGATCAGTTGCCTCCCACACGTGCGCACTGCAACCTAGGTATGTGCCAGGACCAGGAATCGAACCCGCCACCAACTGAGCCACCCGGCCAGGGCCAATTCATGATTTTCTTGTTTCGGCCTCTTAGACGACTGACCCCAGGGATGGCAAATTCAAAGCTCTACAGGACCACTGGGTAAAATGGAGTGAGGGAAACAGGTGAAGCAGGAAACCTGTGTCCCCTCTTAGGGGACAACTGGCTGCTCAGCTTAAGCCGATTGCGGCCGTGAACTCTTGCAAGGTTTGGCGGATATTCTGATCTTTTTCAAGAAGTTGGAAATTCAGGATTTTATGCAAAATCTCTTAAGTTTTATAAATGGGCAACAAATTCTTTTTTTTTTCAGCACCAGGGCATTAAAACAATATAATCTTGTCTATGGGCTGAAGATGGTGTGTGAGTCACCAGCTTCCGACGTCTGGTCCAGTCTTCCTTCAGAAAAGACCACCCCCTTCCCTCATGGATGATCTCAAGGGGATCTAGCCGCTCCCTTGGGGGGAGCCCTCCAGCGAGCGCTACCTTGGGAAGCAGAGCTAAGCCACTTGGCTGTTCAGCTCCCCGTGCGAGTTTCGACGGCCCATTTCGCTAAACAGCGCCCGTCGAGCAGGGAGAAAGCCTAGCAGGGCTGGGGAGCCAGCCGCCCGGGCGAGTGATTTGCCCACCTCTCGGTCACAGTCTGTGCCTCTCGGTCACAGTCTGTGTCCCCTGCAGAGGAGGGGGGTGGCTGGCTGGCATCGGAGCCGCCTCCGGGTGCCCTGGTTGAACAGCACTAGAGCGGGGGGGGGACACACACACACACACACATGACACCCTTTGTAGTTATTGCTTCTGGCTCTTCCGTGGGTGGGTAGCAATGGGGTTGGCCACTCATGGAGCTCCCTGACTTGGGTGGGACCTAACGAAGACGTGGCTGTTTCTTTTCACTCTGGGGCTTCTGTCGGGGACTGAGGAGTGGTCAGCGCTCTGGGACCGCTGAAGACACCAGCGCCTCCCGGAGAGGAAGGTGGTGGGAGTCGCGAGAGGGTGGGGGGAGCCCAGGCGTGGGGGCGAGCCGTGCCACGAGCGTCTTTTGGGCTAAGATGCTGCTTAGGGGGGTTTCCGTCCTTCCTCTCCCAGCAAAGTTAACAGACCCTGGGGTTCT